ACAGAGCAGGGAGTGTGAATGACGTAAGTCTGAGAGGGGATTTGAATGAACCGAGATTGAGAGTAATCAGAGAAGCCATTTATTTTGGTAACCCAGTAGAGTCAGTATTCCCTAGTCAAACTAGGTTTTATTTTATGCAGAGGTAGTTTGGAAACCCTGATGGTGCAGTAGTTAAGAGCTACGGCTGCTAACCAAAAGGTCGGCAGTTCGAATCCACTAGGCGCTCCTTGGAAACGGTATGAGGCAGTTCTAGTCTGTCCTATAGGTCACTATGAGTCGGACTCAACAGCAATGGGTTTTACGGGAGGTAGTTTAGAGAATAGGTAGGTGTTCATACCTCTTACATAAGTACTAACTACTCTTGACATAAATGTACTTGGCTAGTGCTCATTTTATGACATGCTATATAAATTCATTGTTAGGAGTAAAAATTCTATCATTCCGTTTCTTTGAAAGTGTTCTACGTCTGCTGACATGAGCTCATTCTGCCCTGCCAGCATCTGTGTCTGAACAAGTAGTGGGGTCTTACTCTCCTCTGTTTAAAAATGAGAAACTCTAGCCAATTAATAGTTGAATGATTTTTTCAGGGTTTTAAGAAATTACCACATTAGTGCTCAGATCTGCATATTCTCCGGCCTGGGATTAGGTTGAGTGGATTTCATGATTTTTATCGGTGTTTCTTAAAGCATGGTCCCATGGACAGCCTGCATCAGAATCCCCTCAGGCTACTTCAGGTTCCTGGGCACCACGCTGACCTAAGGAATCTGAATCTCTGGAAGGTGTTCCCTCTATTACCTCCCGGAGACCTCTGCCCTGTAGGGTCGCTATCAGTCAGAATCAACTCGACAGCAGGTAACAACTACAAGATGATATTATTCAGTATTACTTAGTGAAAATCACATTACAGGTGAAATATAGAGGAGCCCTTGTCATTATCCATGCCATCTACAAGTTTGTCCCCCTGACAGGCTGGACTGCAGCAGAATGGGTGAGAATAGAATCCCGACCACACGCTGAGACCTCAAAGGGCAGAGTCGCTAACTCAGCCCAGGACCTCTGGCCGCCTCTCCAGTGTCCAGGTGCAGCAGGGAGAGCTGGCTTAACAACATATCAAAGGATGCTCACTTCTGTTATGAAGACACGTGGAACTAGGGGTCATGCTAGGGAGCCAGTTACCTGCGGTTTTCCAGTCTGGGCTGGTCAGGAGTGGATTAGGGGTTTTCAGCTTGGCATTTTGGGCATTTTGGGCCAGATAATTCTTTGTGGTAGGGCTTTCCCACCCTTGCATTGTAGGATGTTTAGCAGCATCCCTGGCCTCTACCCACCAGGTGCCGGTAACACCCTCCCCTCCCCTGAGTATGACAACCCAAAATAGCCCCAGACATTGCCAAATTCCCTTGGGGGCAACATCACCCCTGGTTGAGAACCACTGGAGTAGATGATCACCAAAAGGGTGTGGCTGTAAGGGCATTTGGGACTGTACCCCAAATATCACCTCCAGATCAATGCCTACCATTATGGAGTTTGAGATTCACTC